GATGATGATTCCTCTGCAGGAAATGGTATCCCAGAGAAAACTGAAACTGATCGCCCAAGAGAGGATTTTGGTAGAAGTGCTGTTGGTGAAGGAGACCTTGCGCAGGTTGATAGTGTGTATTTTGATGGTTTTCCCGCCTCTTATAACGACCGAAAGAGGGAGCCGGTTGGAAGAAAAATTCCATTCCATGATAGCATACCAGAAGAAGAAGGAATCTTGCCCTTCCCTCCAGAAGCTCCAGTCCCATATACGGGTTCTGGGGGAGAGACTCCTAGTTATCCTGGTGGAAGTTTTGGTTCCACTTTTGAGGAAAGGTACTAGGATTTTTATGTTGAAAATTGCCACCCATATTGAGAACTCCAGGACAGGGTTAATAATGAGAAACTCTTTTTCGGTACAGAGTGCGAGAGCATAGTTTGTTTGCTTGATTTTATGGTGCATTTATAAATATGAACTTAACAAGATTAGAGTACAAACTTCATGAACGCCTTTTAACTCTCTCATTATTAATACAGGGGAACACAGGGAAGAGCACGGGACAGATCTCCTCGTGTGACTCCTAGCCGGAATACAAGGGATAAAAAATTTCTTGACAACCAGAAGGAAGAATCAGTGGAAAGCATGGATGGTAAACGTAGTCCGCTGATATCATCTCCTATCACAAATAGGGGTGCCCACGAGTCAAGTGTTGAGTATAGAGATAGTGACCAAGATGAGCCTGTGCTGGCTGATGGAAGCTCTGGAATGGAAAAGGAGGAAATGGCTACGGTTACTGTAAATGATGAACTGCAAGATGGGCCTCCAAAGCATAAAAAATTAAGTTCAAGAGTTGAACAATCTGCCGATGAAGAACTTGATGATGGCGAGGACTCAAAGGCTGCAAGAAGTAGTGACAACAGCAAAGCAAGATCTGGAAGCAGCAAGGATTATCAGAAGTGGAGGGATGGGGTTGAGGAGGAAGTCATTCAAGGACGTTCAACACACATGGGGGGCATCAAGAAGCACCTTAATGAAAATGAACAGGGGTTCCAAAGGAAAAACCGTGATGGTAGACAGGAACCAGATAGAAGTCACACGGTAGTAAAAGGGCGGGAGGACTCTTATCCTTATAGGGACTGGGATCCTAGCTCTGCTCATCCATTGCAATTGAAAAGTGATGGGCTTCATAGGCGAAAGGAAAGGGACAATCTTGACGGGCCATGGCAACGGAGAGATGATGAACCTTATGTCAGAAGGATTAGAACTGAAGAAACAAGGAAGAGAGAGCGTGGTGATGAAATGGGATCCAGGCACAGGAGTAAGGCTCGAGAAAGTGAGCGGAGTGACAAAGATGAACATCTTCAGTCAAGAAAACAGTTAGATAATGGCAGCTATAGGGTTTATCATGATAAGGATATTGGCTCACGACCCAGGGAAAGAGAAGGTAGTTTGAAGGGTATAGATGATTACCATGGCAAGAGAAGGAAAGATGAGGAATATATGAGGAGAGACCATATAGATAAAGAAGATTTTGTGCATGGCCACAGAGAAAGTACCAGTCGCCGAAAGCGTGAAAGGGATGAAATTTTGGATCAGCGTAAGAGAGATGACCAGCAGAGAGTTAGAGATAATCTTGATGATCCACACTCTGTCAGGCACAAAGATGAAAGCTGGTTGCAGAGGGAGAGAGGTGATAGGCAAAGAGAAAGGGAGGAGTGGCATAGGGTTAAACAATCCCATGAGGAAAATGTACCGAAGCGGGAAAGAGATGAAGGACGAGCTTCTATAAGGGGTGGGCGTGGTGCAGAAGACAAAGCATGGGTGGGCCATACTAGGGCAAAGGATGAAAGCAAAGGCTCTGATAAGGAGCACCAATATAAAGACACTGTGAGACACAGTGAACCATCTAAAAGGAGGGATAGGATTGAGGAAGAAAGCTCGAATCATAGGGGGCGTGAGGATGTTTATGGACGTGGAAATCAATTAAATAATGATGAGAAGAGATCCGGAAAGGAGAGATCAAGTACTCGTAATGAACGTGCTGACAACCAAAAGCTCCATGATAGAAGACCTAAAGAGAATACAAGGAAGAATAAAGAATCTGAGATTGCTGATAACAGCACTACAGTTACTTCCAAGAGACATCAAGAAGATCAAAGTGGTCACAGTAAGGAGATGGTATGTTCACTTCTTGACATCAGTTCTCTTGTTTAATTTGTTTGTTGTTTTTTCCTTTTAATTCTTGTATAGTTTTTCTTCCTTGAAAAATAATGTATATAGGGTGCAAGCTTGATTTCAGATGACAGTTCTAATAAAATCCCAATTCTTTCTCTTTGTCATAACAATGGAATTCTGATATCAAATGGATACTCCACACTGAGCATCTGCAAAGTAGACTTTCACTGGTGTGGACCTATTCTCTTTCATGTTTCACAGCTGGAGTGTGGGTTCAGCTTTTCATTTCCTCCTTTCTTTACGAGTGCTAAAATCAGAAGATTGTGTACTTGTCTTATCCTAATTAGTGGTAGCTTCTGTTCATGGAATTTTCGCCCAAATAACATGTATGTGCTGGGTCAGCAGTGATCACATATTCAATGATTTGGTACACTTTGCTGAGACTAATAATCATGCTTTAGCTGCATTTGAGTTTGCTTGTGCTATCTTTCTCCATTCAACTTGTGGTTCAATCAGTGTAGGGCCATACTGAAGGGGATGACTGACCCACATTATGTGAGGGAAAACGGAAGTGAGCTCCCGCATATTGCAGTTGGATAGAACAATAACAAATGGAACAACATTTATATTTACTAGTTGACAACTTACCAACTAATCCAGGAATTTTCGTGCAGAGCTGTGCTTGTTATTCATCATCACTTTTTGTCCTTTGTACTTGACCCTAGTTTATTGATGAAGAATGTTTCCTCCTGGGGTGGGCTCTTTTCTCATTATTGCTTCTTTTGCCCCTTTAGGGCTTGAAAGGTACCCGTGTGCAAGGAACTGGTGAGGGAATCCCACAGCACCGTCACTCTTCCAAAAGGCATAAGGAAGATGCTTCCTCTGATGATGAACAACAGGATTTAAGAAGGGGGCGCTCCAAATTGGAACGCTGGACGAGCCATAAGGAGAGGGATTTAAGTATCAACAGTAAATCATCGTTAAAGTTGAAAGAGCTTGATAGGAGCCACAACAGAGGATCCTCAGATGCCAGTAAACTTCCAGAAGAATCTTCCAAACCAGTTGAGGCTGTTGATAATCAACATTCATTGGTTGAGGAGAAAGATGCCGGTGATCAGGATATTAAGGATGCAGACACCAAACAATTGGATGCAGACACAAAACCATTGGAGGACCGGCACCTGGACACAGTTGAGAAGTTGAAGAAAAGAAGTGAGCGTTTCAGGCTTCCAATGCCAAGTGAAAAAGAAGCAGCAACAATCAAAAAGTTGGAGAGTGAAGTGCTGCCTACCACCAATAGTGAGACTCCTGTGGAATCTGAGATTAAACCAGAGCGGCCAGCTAGGAAAAGAAGGTGGATCAGCAACTGAATCCAACATTAAGGAACTTAGGTTAGTTGGCTGAATTTCTGTGGCATGAGGGAAGTTACGCATCCCAACTCCCTTTGCAGTGCAATCATTCAGCTTGTTTTGAAATGGTTTTTGTAGGGTTCCCTAGAAGGCCATGTACCTCTGCGCTGCAGTAATATAATCTTGTAACCGTGCTGCCCCGGCATACTTATCAATGTTTTCTTTTGTATATACTGGTGATTGTAACTTTGAAATGGCCACAGATGTGGCGCAGGACTGCTTTTAGCAACTATTCTTAATTTTGTTGCTCAGGTATAATCTTGGCCTGATTCGAGGGACATCTATCAGACCCGGCAATTGCTGTTCATTGGATCCATGTAGAAGCCAGGCGCCGTGGGATGCAACGCAAGAACTTGATACAGGCCAGAAGCTTCAAGGCTGAAGAAAATGAGAGTGAGGAGCCAATTGACACGAGAGAAGCTTTTCCAATGTGTTTGGAGATGACGACTTCACCGGTGATGGTGAAATGAATTAGAACTTATATATGTATACTGTCTCCTGATCAAATTCTTTTACCCCTTTTTCTCTTTTTGGTTAAAAGAAACAGAGAAGTGGTGGTGAGCTTGAAACACACGACATTTGAAACCCATTTGTATTTTTGGAACAAGTGAGTTTTAAAAACAACGGATTAGTAGAAAGTTAATTGAACAATAGAAAAAGGAATAATTAGTGGTATTATTCTAAATTACATAAATCTCTTCTTGTACGTGTTATGGTGTCCCAGTGCTTCTGTGCTGGTTGCATGAAGGAGCACTGTTATTCTTCCTTTTGTGTCACCATCTGTTCCATATATGCATATAGGATTCGGATCCTTTGCTTGCTTTTTCTCTTCATCATTTTTTAATGTTAAATTGATGCTGCAATTGGTGATTTGGATTGCCCTTCACTGTTTTGTCCTTCTAAGTTCGAATCAAAATGGGTCTTGTGTCCTAAGTTCTAAGCTAAAACCTTCACAAAAGCCCTCCTTAGCACCCAAAAGAAGGGGGAATATTTTTTTTTCTTTCACAAAAGTACTTTGACGATTGACCAAAAAGAAAGAACCTCGCTTGGAAACCCTTTGGTTTTACGTGGGACCCTGCCAACTAATCATCGAAACTTCTCAGGTTGGAATCTTCACAGAATCTTAAGACGTGTTCATCATCAATAATGAATAATGGAGTATCTATCAGCATCAATGTAGCAAAGGATAAACTTTAGACTCTGAAAATAAATGGAAATGGAATATAAAAGCCTCAAAATCGAGTCATTTTGCGTGGTTTTCCCGAGACTCACATTAACGTGCGCGCACATCATGTGCAGTGCAGGCTCATCAACAATACCAATACTAGAGTCGAACTCGATACATGTCATCGTCTCAGGCATTCATTTAGATCTGTAAGTCTAGCTAGCTTAATCTTATTGAGCAGAAAGAGAGGCAGTGAGTGAGATTGTTATCGAATGGAAAAACCCTCTTGGGTTCCTACTTTGGTGGCGCAGGCATGTTTGTGCTTTAGTCTGTACCTTGCTTTTCAACTGGGTCAGCCTCAGAAGCCTATGTACCATGGTACAAGTGGGACGAGACCCCTTGATCTTTACTTTATCAGCGTTGGAGGGGGCTTCAGACCTCTCAATCAACAGACCCATCTTCTCAAACAGGTCAGTTTCTTAAGTTATAATGCTTCTTGAATAATCGAAGTAAGGAATTTGGCCTATATTCTACAAAGCAAAGATTTTTATCTCGTCTAATGCTATCTTGGCGGATATGATTGTTGTTAATGTTAGGAAATAAGGGGAAACTTGAAGGAAATAATCTACGTTATACATGTGTGGTTTTGTTTTGGTGCTAAATGAAAGGCTCAGCTGAATAGCCGGATAGTTACCTCTGTTTCTGTGGGATTAGTACTATGATATTGTTTGCAGAGGAATCTTGTTTCCACTTTTTCCTTTGGTTACTTTAAGTGAGCAGAGTTGTGAGGGCCTTGACAATATTTTCCCTGGATTAATTGCGGTTCTTCTTGTTGATAAAGATGGAAAAGGTGATAAAGAAGTACAAGGCAAAGTTCGTGGTGGACATTAGTGATCTTGGGAAAGATGATCCGCTCATGCAGAATGTAAGGTTGTTTTTTTCCTCAAAACATTTGAGCTGCAAAGCCACCATTCTGCTTGATTATTGTAAGTATGTATCTCTCAACATGGAAGAAAGATCTTTTAAGAATCTTAATATGATGGGATTAATCATAAATGGAGGTATATTCTATGTACTTCAACAAAATGGATAAAGTTGATAGATTACAATTGTTAAAGACTAGAAGTTGTTCCTTTCTTTGGTTTCAACTGTTGGTAACAATGGTGTATATATTCTTTTACAGGGTACCCTGCTTTTCTCATCACTGAAACTTCCCTGGTATGCTATCCTCTAGGCAATATTCTTTGAATTGGGTACATTTATCTAATATGATGTTCTTATTGCCGTGTCTGAGGTTCAGCTATGCTGTTTGCACTGTTGTTCATTTTTTCCTGGTTAAGGCATGAATAGTAGCACTTGTAGGTACACCACTAGAGTTTCAGAAAGAGATGGAGGAGGCTACTTCCAAAAGAAGATCAATTTACCTTACGAGAAAACCTTAGATGTCATTGTGGTGGATACTGGATTGTTACAGGTATGTACTATTTTGTTTTTCAATTTTATCTATCCGATCCTATTTTGTGTAAGCTTTCTAAGCTGTTTGTCTGTTTAATGACTTAGGAGTTGTTTTTATCTTTATTTTTCTTCAAGTCATATAAAGATGTCCTGTATAGATTTCCTTCTTTGCTTGTCTGGCAGTTCATCCAAGGGTTGATAAATATATGTATATTATCATCTATTTATATATTTATACACGGTTGCTGTATATGTGTAGCTTTTTGTTCTACTTTCTTACTTGAACTTATTTTCAACGTGAAGGGCACCGGATCATTAGGTGGGTTCGGAAACAATCAGTTACATTGGCTGAAAGGGACACTAGAAGCAACCAGTAGTAACTGGTAAAATTAATTAGTTGTATGGCCCTGCTATTTGTAGTTGATTTATGTTCTTGGCTTTTCTGATCTTATGTGCTAGCAATATCTTAAAAACACAAAAAAGCTTGAAGAAATTGTGAAATGTTCTTTCAATTTTGGTGTTTTCTGATAATTGATATTTCATGACTCATATTGTTTCTGTTTTGAAGCTGTTATTTTTGCAATCCAACTCTAAAATTTTGGTTTTCATTCTGATGCTTACATGAACTGGAATTTCTGCGGTATAGGACTTCAAGATTGGGTTTCCAACTAGCCTCGCACCTTGAGCTTTTTTTTTCAGTAAGTGATAACTAATCTTCCAATGTCTAACTAGCTTGTATTGCCATATAGGCGCATAGTCGTTGGATTCCACCCATTGGCTATTTGTGAAGATGGTGAGGGGGGAATGGGAGCAAAGAGAGTTTTTGAGCCTCTACAACTTATTTTTATGAAATTTGAAGTGGTAAGAATATATATTTTTTTGGGTATTCACTAATACCTTATTTCTGCGCCGATTCCAAGTAAAATGCCAAATCTGACTCCCAAGTCCTCTCCTCACCAATACATGTTATTCTCCAGAATGCATACTTAAGTGCGCAGGGTTGCGCTAGCAGTGTCCGACGACGCAGCCTGAGCTACCTTGGGAACCCGGGCCAAATGGAGGATGGGTTTCTTCTTCATAGAGTCAGCACACTAGAGATTGTGGGTATTCATTTCTTGTGCTGTTTCATTACAGCTTTATTTTATTAAAAAGGTATCCCTTGTTTATCATGTTTGATACATTTGTTCTTTCCTTATTTTGGGCTGCAGGTAACCTACTTTGTTAGCTCAGGTGGGGAAGTTGTGCATAAATCTGTACTCCATCAGAGGGGTAAGGAGATCATGTAAATTGTGTTCAAGAGGACCAAGCTCTACCCGTTCTTTTACGCCATGGACAAACTGCCACCACTCTTTTAACAATCCGTCTCTCAGATTTATTGTGTGTGTAAAAGTAAAAGCTAAAACCTTCATCTTTTTGACAATAAGAATGGATAATTCGTTCACATATGTTGCTTTTACCTGCTTCAAGCGTGTTAAGAGCCTATGGGTAGAACTTGCCCCTAAAAATCGGCTTGTAATGGAAGGGTGGCCTGTGAAATTACGCTTTTGTCCTTCTCACAGGCAATTGTGTGTATTGTTGTTGCGGCCACGGTGGCTTCCCCTATATTTATTAATTTGAGCCGCCTCCTCCTCTGAACTTACTCTATCGTCTCTCTAGTCTTTATTAACGAGAGCATAGGAAATAAATTGTATATATATATATATATTATTTTTTTTGGGTGAAAAAGTAAAGTGCAATTAAACAAAAAAAAGCCCAAAAAATTATAGAAGTATTTTTTGGTGAAAAAGTTAAATGGATATTACCCAACTAGAGAGACCCACCCGATATACCACCCAAATTAACCAAAACTCAAATCAAACCCCATTTGTTTTCAGCTCTCTCCCTCCCTCCTTCCTTTACAATTACTTATCGTCGCATCTGATCTCACTCACGACGAAGCTTACCTTGACGCTCCAGCAACCAGGTTTCACTTCTCACTTAATAGTATAAAGTCTTATTCTTTGATAAGTTTTTGCAATTTTAATGTGTTTTGGTTTCTGGGTATTGCACATTCTCTGTAACTTTGATTTTCCTCTTTCGAATTCATGATCTCTGGCTGGTGTTCAAATGGTAATTAGATAAAATGAATCCCCATCTGTGACTGTTTCGCCAGCACTGACTCACTGAGCTATCGTCGATCGCCGGTAAGTCATCCTTTTTAGTTTCTTTAGTTTTTCATGGAATTGTTTACTTTCTTTCTGGCAGAGAGAAGTGTGAAAAATATTACAAAATGAAAGTTATAGGTTGAGTTGATTTGAGTTCATTTTTTTCCTTCTGCTTGCACCAGCTGCTCTTCCTTTTCATCAGCGTCTGCCTCACTTCTGCTTGGCTATTTTGACTTTTTGAATCCGTTAATGTCATACCCAATATGAACATCAATCCCGAATTGGGTTTTTATTAAAAATAAAATAAAACCCTTTTTGACCTCGCCTCTCTGTTTAATTTTGCAAATTGTGTGACTTTATGAAATTTAATTATTCAATTAACTTTTCTGTCTTGTTTCCATGTAATTTGCCTCTGTTTGTGTTTGATTCAATGAGAATTCTGATTGTGTTCTTATTTGTTTTCTCAGTGAATCTGTCTGCATGATTATGGATATTACCCAGATGCTTGTGTTTTGTTATGCCAATCCATATGTGGATCGCGTTTCTCTTGATTTTTGCATTTTATTCAGACGATATAGTAGTCAAATCGTTCAGGAAAGTTTGCAATGGATTTAATTCTTTTCATTTGGGTTAAAACTTTCTATGACGATACTGCATTACATTCAAATTTGCTCCGTTCCTCCTGATGCAATTACAGTTGATTTTAGTTTTGTTCAAAGAAAAATTAAACCTTGAGTTTTGATTTTCAACATGTTCATTTGCTTCATCCGTTGATTCCAAGTATAACTCTCCTCTCCTTATTTTTCCTTAACTTTCTTAGAGAAATTTTCTGATTACAGCTATAATAAACACTTGAACATCAACTGCAGATAATAAACACTTCAAAAGTTCTTTGATAGTCTAGCATTAGCTGCAGTTTTCCTGTTTCATAGACCCTGATGTCTCTCAGAAAGCCCCCGCTTCCCCGTCTCCTTCTTGACAATGTTTCTTGCATGAGGAATGCCCAACAAATCTTGAGACATGTAAATGCCTCCATTCATGATGGTGGAGCACTTGTACTGATGGGCACTAATGGCTCAGGCAAGACTACCTTCCTGCGTATGTTGGCTGGATTTTCTCGTCCTTCAGCTGGTCAGGTCCTGTGGAACGGGCATGACATCACAGATTCAGGTGTTTTCCACCAGTACAAGCTTCAACTTAACTGGCTCTCCCTTAAAGATGCCGTGAAGGAGAAGTTCACAGTTCTGGACAATGTTCAGTGGTTCGAAGTTCTTGAAGGCAAGCAGGGGAATTCAATGCCAGCTTTGGAGCTGATGGGGCTCGGGAGACTGGCAAAGGAGAAAGCAAGAATGCTGTCGATGGGGCAGCGGAAAAGGCTGCAGCTTGCGAGGTTGCTGGCAATGGATAGGCCAATCTGGTTGCTTGATGAGCCTTCTGTTGCTTTGGACACTGAGGGGCTGAAGTTGCTTGAATATATCATTGCAGAGCATAGGAAGAAAGGTGGAATTGTGATTGTGGCTACACATCAGCCAATTGAGATTGAAGATGCCATGTATTTGAGGCTGCCACCTAGGTTCCCAAGGAGGATGACTCTGGTAGATATGCTTGATCGTTCGGATTTTTGAATTTCAATGGACAAGGAAAAAAATTTGTCATTGAGATTATGAGATTGAGAAGTCCTGTTAGTGGTGTTCAGTAGAAGATTCTAAGCCATTGCAAAATGCAAATTATGGACTTCTGATTTCTATAGTTAATGGTAACAAAACGTTTTTGCATATTTATTATGCATGTTAAATTCTGGACTCTCATACCAACTTTTTTCTTTCGGTTACAAGACGGGACGAATCTGAAAATGAAAAAGAAATAACAAATACCCAACTTAATCCATATAATCCAAAATAGGAGCCAAATAAGTAAGTAAAACAGGGAGAAAATTTTGTATATAACGGAAATAACACTTTTTTCCAATCCTTGTGCAAGTTCTTCTCAAGTCAAAATTATGAAAACCCAAAGACAAATTGTGTCCAAATATCTCTTTTGCTATTTTTTTTGTATGTCCCCAACTTTTCATGATATGACCATTGTGTCCCAGAAAGTTTCATGATACCAGACTGACCAAAATACCCTTCCCTCAAGTCCGGAGCATCATAAAATAGGCCTGAGGCAGGAGGGGGTTAGGGTTTAAGGCTCATTAGTTTAAGAATGAGGCTTTGCTCTCAGAGAGGCCGTTTGGGGTGTTCCTGAGGGTTGGTTGCCCCCTCTCTGAATGTCTGCGGAGCCGATGATTTTCAACCAACCTTATGTTACATGCGATGCAACCAAACAGCCCTCTCTCTCTCTCCCTCTTCCTCTTCCTCATCATCATCATCATCATCATCTTCTTCTTCTTCTTCTTTTCTCACTCTCTCTCTCTCTCTCTCTCTCTCTCTCTCTCTCTCTCTGTAATAGTGACCGAAAGTCAAGAGGCGGTGATGATATTTATAGCTTCTGTAAAACCAGACCATGGAAATGGTGACCCGGTTTCCTTGGCGGGGCGACCCGGTTGCTCTGTTGGTGAAAATGACTATTCTGTCCTTTCATCCACAGGTAGCGCCCGTGGTCGCAGCCGTGGAAGGCTGCGTTGCCTTCCTCTTTTGTCTGAAAAAAGGCGAATCTGAGCCTCGTTGTCTCTTTGTTGATTTCCATATTTTATTTTTGTTTTTTTTTTCCCTGTTTTTTGTTTTTTTTAAAAAAATTTGCTTGGAAAATTATGAGCGACTTGGTAAAAGTTTATACCTTTTACCATGTTAAATACTCAACTTGATCCAATGATGTAATAAAATTTTGACCTTTACTTGATATCAAGTTGATCTTAATAAAGGGTAAGGGATATGGTTAATGAAAAAATAAGATTAGTATTGTTGGTTTGAGTTGAGTTGATTGACTGGTATGAATTGAATGGAATCTTGAAAACAACATAATTGAATTGATATAAATTTAACTAGTCAGAATAAATCTGTCTAATTTGCGATATTTACTATACTATATAAATTATGCAAGTATATTACAGACTCACGTAATCTTAGAAGCTCAAGGCCAAGGTTACTTAATTTGCCAGCAAAGCGAGAACCACTATGGCAACTAAGGAAAGACAAAGATTGGCAGCATTTGCGAAAGCACTTGACTTTTCAGAAGATGCAGGAGCAGGTGTAGATTTGGAGCCGGAATCAGTTGAATCAGAGCTGCTGCTGGAGGGTGGTGGGCTTGTGTCGTTTTTCTTCACCACTTCAGGAAGCGGGGGGTCAACGACATTGGAAGCTTGAAGAGCTGGGCTTGGGGCTTGTGCTGGTGACAATGCCTCGGGGACTACCAAACCCAGCAAAGAACCAGGTTCCACTGGTAAAATGGGATATGGGATATTGGCTTTGGGGTCCATATCATTACATGGGCACCCTGCAAGTTCATGTCAAAACTTGTTGTGAGGGTGGTTTTATTAGGTAACTAAACAGAAAAATAACACTACTATACCAATAATACTTACTCATATATTTGTTAGCAGTTGCTGGGAAATCGGTGACGATGCCATCAACTTGGAACTCTAGAGCATATGATGCAATCTCTATGATGGGGTCGGAGAAATAATCAAACATGAGACTGACGAACTCATTCTTCAGCCAATGGACATACACTGAGATGTTTGCGGCCTTCATTTCCTTGACAACGTTTGTTTTCCCCGAGATGAAGTAATCGCTGATTTTGACAATGGAATCTTTGGAGACAGTTACTGCGTCTGCAAACTTCTTGATCTCATCCACGGATGCCTTGGGTGCATCACTTATTTTCTCCTTAATGTTGAGCACCCTTCTGTATGTTTTCACATCTTTGAACTTGGACAGCACTGAAGTGTCATCTGATTTGATCAACACTTGCTGAGTGGATTGCTTGTCAAATGTGGCATTGCTCAAGGCAGAGGTTACAGTTTTCACAATGTCCAGACCTGCCTTTGATGCTAGGTACGCAGCATTCTGACAATTCATCCCACAACATCGTTAACTTTGAGCAAAAATGAATATATAATAAGAAGAGTTTGAGAATCAAAATGACTGAAACTATTAAAAGTCTTGCCTCAATGTTGATCAAGATTCCAGTAACTGCCTTTGTCTTAGAAAACTCCAGGAAGTCAGAGAGGGTCACCAGTTTGCCCACGTCCTTGTTAGCTGGGTTTCTATATACTTTTTCCTTAGTTCCGTACGGGCTTTGTATTTGAGCTGAAATAAAAAGAGCCAAGATGAACAGTTAACGGGATGGGATGGGATTTTCAGAAGCTTGTTACTTACTAGCAATATCAGATTTTGAAGTAAAGAAGCTTACGTTTCAAGCTCTGAATCTCATCCCATGAGAGCTGGAATGAGAAGACTCCAGCTTCTGCTTGAAGTTCAGGGATGGTCTCACTCTTGGTCATGAACTGAGATAATGCATTAGTGCCTGAGTTGAGGTCTATGGTATCTAAGCAGAAGGCAACTCCATCACTTGACAGTTGAACTGAGCAATCTATTATGTCAGCCCCATCATCTACTGCTTGCTTATAAGCAAGGTCTGTGCTGCCAGGATAGGTCCCACTTGCTCCATTTCTTGTTATGATCAAAGGAAGTCCTGCAAAGTCAAAAATTCTATAAGAAACTTCCTAACAACAATATTACAGGATTCACAACAGAACTGTTGGCGTACAAAAGTTACTAGAATATTCTTACCTTTTTTAGGCTTGGTAGCATTATTGTTCTGTGCAAAGCAGGCTGCACCAGGAAAGCATTGGCAGGTTAATTGGGGCAGAAATCCAACATTTGTTTTGTGAAATGAATGTCTGTGTCAAGTAGGTGCTATTAAATTGAATGAAAGATAAGTAAAGGCTGATATCTCACCGATGGTTTCGGATGCGGTAGGAGGGAAATCTGTAAGCACCCCATCAACAGAAAAGTTTGGCTGATCTACAAACTGCAGGTACTCAGCTGTTGGATCAAAACTGTAATTATAAGGGAGCACGATGTCATTTGCGAAACCAGAAGCATGTACTTCTAGCCCTTGTTTGTGAGCCTCAGTCACGAGTGTAGTGGCAGCCTCCAAATAGTTGTTCTTATTGACCGGCCATATGTATTCTTTTGGGACAAGGATTCCAGCTGCAACTGACTTGATCATCCCAAGATCCTTCACAAGTGCGCTGTACTTTTGTTTCGTTGTGGGTTCAGTTTCTTCAGGATCTAGGAACTGGAATATGAGCTTTGTCCTCCCTTTGTTCACTTTTGCACTTACGGTTTTCAAGAAACCAATCTCAGGAGATGAGATGTAATTCATAGACGGAAATCTGATTACCTTTTCAACAAATGATGCCATACTGATTTTGTGTTGGCTATAAAATGTATCATACTGTATGCCACAGCAAACCAAACACCAAAACCATTTATTATGAAAATGAAAATGATTTATGACTGATGAAGAACAACTCTACAAAAATAACTCATTGGTAGTATAGAAAGGGATAGGGAGATACCGGAACGTTCAGCCAGAATTTGTCTGGTTTAATTCCTAAAGCATCCTCAACCGTAGCTATTGGCAGAGTACCATCGAAGTGACTTGGTCGGGAAAAAATGTTTTGAGTCACTGTAAAAGAATTGAACAACACAAGTAAACAAAGCATGATCACTAGTCACCTTAACCCATAAATCTTGTTGTCTACTTGATAAGTAACTTACGTGATACATTGTTTAACAGCTGATCAGCTGTAAAGTCCAAAGCAAACCACCCACGAATATCCTTCCCATTTACATTGTAAGTCTTTTGGTCTTTAGGGTAGAACATAGATATAGTTGTTGTATTATCAAGCAGAATGTTCGACAGACATATTCCAACGCTATCTTTCGTTAACTGCAGATTGCAGAAGAAAGCGTACCCTGGCAAACTTTGAGACTTTGCCATGTCAATCGCATAGGTGCTGGATTCAGGAAAAAGTCCCGAAAACCCACCACGAGCTATAACGAGGGGCTGTTGTCCTGCAGGTAAATCATGAGTTGCAGAAAGTCATTACACAGACTTGATACTAGTTATAGTTAATATAAAAGTCAAAGATGTTTAGACATTCCTGCAAATGTTGAAGAAACCTTGTTGTTTCGTCTCATAATTCGGTTCAGTTAATATCAAGTTATCAAATTATTTCTTGAGATTGGCCTTATTCACTTAAATGAAACTTCTGAGAAGCCCAATTTCTTGCCTTTTTTTCTTTTTTCTTTTTTGCAGAGTAGATCAACTTTTGGTTGAAGAATTCTTTTATTGATTTTGTTTTTGTTTTCGTTTTGAAATGGCCAATTCGTTAGCTCCAAATAGTAAACAAAAAGGTATTATTACCATTTAAAGTCAGCCATTTCTTCGTTGGAGACCCCGCAGGGGCCTTCTGTCCTGCATTTGCTGCTGCATTTGGTGCTTTCGCTGCTAAAGTTGCGTGGATGAACAAGGATATGAAAAGCAAACACCTGATCATCTCTTCTGAATCTGTTGCAGATTCCAACAGTCAGTTTATCAAATGCAGAACATAATAGGAAAAACAAAACAGAGAGAAAGAGAGAGGCAGATCATAACAATTATCAAAACTAGTATATATATTTCTACAGATTGTCGAATATGTGTGTTTATATGTTCACATTTTTCCTAATTGAATTCGTAGGTGAGAATTCATATCATCAAACAGAACAAAAAAATATTTATTGTCTTAATTAAAGTTTAGAGAATGCCTCAAATAAATGATCTATTCTTAACATAAACAACATTGAAAGAAGAAAAAAAAAGAAGAGAAAATTAGAAGCAACCCAAAAGAACTTACTTCTGGAGGAATCAGGCACTCCCTGTCAAGTTTCTTGAAAACTATCAAGGGAATGTGATGGAAAGGAAAAAGAAGTGGTGGTAAGGGGGGGCAAAGGGAAAAAAAAAGTGAGAGATGATGAATTTAATTTACCCCCAAAGGCATCAACAAAAGCCTTAAGCCCAAATAGGGGCTCTTCTTTCCTTTTTTACCAATTTACTCAGCACAGATTTCTCGCATTAATAGCAGCCCAGGAATAACTATTAAAGGAGAACCGTTTTTAGTTTTTGGGTCAATTCCTGTATTTACTATTTTTGTAGACTGATGGAGTTGGAACAGTTGGCTTTGTATTTCTTTCGCGGGAAACCAGGCATCTGTAACCTTAAAAGCCTTAACGGTTTTTTGAAACCCCCGCTTTTCTATAATTAGGCGTTTCAGACACGGTTTGCATGAATTCCAGTTCCAGATATTCTACTGCTGCTTCACTATTGTTTGAGAAGTTTGTTATAAAACCAAATTGAATTCATTCATTCATAATGCCATAATGGTTAAAGATCTAACGGGAGTAATCTTCAATAGGATAACCAGTTACACCTAACCCTGTCTTTCACAATTATCCAATCGCGTGCAGAAAAACTTGGTTGTAACGGGATATCACTATTTTGCTATTTCTAGCGAATAACGATATGCCATGTGAAAAAGTTATCATGAGTGTCATAGCGTTATTGGCCGGAAATAGCAAAATAATGTTATCCTCGTTTTCATGCAAGTGTGTTATTGATCATGTGAGCAACAACAATATGGACCTTTAATTAACAAATATATAAGAGCATGAGTCAAAATTAAGGGGATTATTTTTTCAAATTTGAGTCCTCTAACAGGATTACTGTCATTGTCTAACTACAAGTACTAAACCTTCATATACAGGCGAACCATGAGTTGTTGACAGTGGGGCACCTTAGACAAGTCAAGTATCTTTTTTCTTTTTGAGAGTCTAACTTGTCACAAAACTCTATTTCATTAGTTTGTTTCATTTCATATTTCAATAATAACTCTTATAATATTTATAGGAAATTTGAGAGAGAGAGAGAGAGAGAGAGAGAGAGAGAAGAACATGTGTTAAGGGATGAACAGAGTTAAAATAAATAAATTATTCTCCATAATAAGTGAGAAAATAATAAAGAGGGATATGAGATTCATGTTTTGGGAGCAATTTTGTAACTAGACTCCATTAAGGGAATGGGTTTGGGAGGAGGCATGTGCCCCTCTTGGGCCCAATGTGCTTCCGATATTGTATGTACAGGATATAATTCATATGAATATAGCTAATAAGTGAATATATCATTGTTACTTATATTTTCAATGTTGTACTAGGTTTGTGATTTAATTTCATTTTAATTGATTTAAAAAATGGCGACAAAGAATTTACTATCAAGATAAAGCAGTCACACTTATAAATAACCATATACATTATATACACTTCTAATGTAAACTGTAACGAAGATTAGTGTTTCTTATAAAGAGATATATATTTTAGTACAATTGATAGTATAAGCTATTGGAGAGAAGGATTCTCGCTCACACTACTATGGTTCTATGAGAGTTTGAATTTGAGATCACTAGTTAGCAAATTAATGCCATTTTTTAATGGACTAAACCCGTTAACAATTAAGAGATATATCTTTAGATAAGCATAAGGAATTCAAATTTTTTATAAAAGCATAAGGAATTTAAATTTTGAAAAAGCATAAGGAATTAAAAGTTGTTGGCCATGGGAATAAGGAATTGATTTAATGGCGGTCCAAATGAGTTGGATTTTATATGGACTATTGTGTAGAGAACAAAGCAAAAGTATAAGGCATACATATTATAAATTTAAATTTAAGATTTTTATATATATTCTTATAGTGTTTATTATTTTTTAATAAAAAATATATATATATTTTTAAATAAAAAATTTAGGGTTTTTTTTTATAGGAAAAGGATAAGGCATGTATTAAGTCATACAAGTGCACGGCGATGCCGACCTAATTGCACCGTATCCAAAGATTCTTTAAATCCACTGGATCCCTACCCTTCTCTAGCTAGAACACAATTCTTTACTTTCCCTTTCTTCACCTCTCCACGATCCGAATCCCCAAATCCCCAACTTCCCAAATCAAACACCAGACTTCAGACTCTCTGTTACAAGAACCCTCCGAACCCCAATAGATCTTTTATACAGAGTAACAGAGGGACGGAGAATCAGAGAAACAGAGAAGAAAGATGAAGATCACGGCCTTGCTGGTCCTCAAGTGCAACCCGGACGAATCCGACCCGATCATTCTGGCCAACGCCTCCGATACCAGTCACTTCGGCTACTTCCAGAGGTCCAGCGTCAAGGAGTTCATCGTCTTCGTCGGTCGCACCGTTGCCAAACGGACCCCATCCGGACAACGTCAGTCCGTCAAGCATGAAGGTCCGTTATTTCTTTCGGTTCGGGTCCCCAATTTTCGCGGATCCCCCTTGCATTCACTTTTGTTTTCAACTCTATAGGTGTTCTATGCGCTATATACGATATTAATAATTTTTCCCAATTTGATGACAGCTCTGATCATTCTAATTTGTGTTTTAAATCCTTAGCTGATTAATCTGGTTTGATTTGGGATCTCGGTTTTCCTGAGTTTTCAACTCTCTTGTCTTGTGTGATATTGTTTGTTTGTATGTTTTTTTTTCCTGGATTTGGGGTTATAGAATTTTGTTGCAATTGCAAATTTTGGGTTTTCTTTTAAACTTTTGTAGTGATTATAGAATCTGAGGCTTGAATTTGCATTGCCCCAATTTCATTCGGCATCAGATGCAATTGTTTATTGGAGTTTGTTGGCACGTTTTTACTAGAAATTTATGTAAATAAGGTCACTAAGACATACGGCACAGATTGTCTTGCTCTCAGGGTTATTACTGTTATAATTTTGAATGTGTTTCTTAGACGCTCATTTAAGTTCTTGTTCTTCTTGTTTATCTTTTGTCGGAGTTTCGGTATGCTTTTATAAACTCTGAATTTCTTTGTGTTGTTTCTTCATAGAGTATAAGGTGCATGCTTACAACAGCAATGGTCTTTGTGCGCTGGGCTTTATGGATGACCACTATCCTGTCCGAAGTGCATTTTCTTTGCTCAACCAGGTAACACAATATTTTCTAGGAGCATAAGTGTATTCATACATTGAATAATCCCTTCATTTGCCATACCTTGCTTCCCATATTTTTGTGATGGCTAGTTGCTTCAGCTTAAATGGTACCCTAGTGAGAAATTGAGATCCAATTGGCTTTGATTTGTAATTAGTTGTGCCTGAGGTTTTTGCATAATTGGTTTCATGGACTACCTTAAATATAGTGCTCCAAGCTTGTTTCATGTTTGTCTCATCAAATATCTGATTGATTCCTGCGATTGGCAGGTGCTAGATGAATATCAGAAAAAATTTGGTGATTCTTGGAGGACTGCACAACAGGACAGCACACAAACATGGCCCTATTTGGGTGAGGCCCTGACCAAGTTCCAGGTGTGTCTGTTAATCTGTTTTTGCCCTCGTTTGTTTATCTGGAGTCATAAGGCAACATGTGGTTAATCAAGATTATGTTTTCTGATTCGACAAAACAGATGAAGTTTCATGAGTTATAACTGAAGCTACTTTCTTCTCTTCTTTATTTTCAATTTTCAGGACCCTGCAGAGGCTGATAAGTTGTTGAAAATTCAGAGGGAATTAGATGAAACAAAAATTATCCTTGTGAGTATAGTGCACTATTTCATTTACATTTTGTTCTACATATTTTTGTCGTGTCTTTTTATAATCTTTTTATTGGTGGATTCAGTATGTCTGTTTGTTTGTTGTAAATATTCTTTTGTATTTAAATGGAACCTCCAACTTGGCATATTTGTTTTGTTTAGTAAAGGCCAAAAGAAGATCTTCAACTGAATACCCTCATGGACCTTATCTGCTGAAATTTTTTTCCTGAAATAAGTTGGAGATATCTTTTGTGTTATAAATTTATCTTTGTTTAGTATATGCCGTTGCTTATTGGTCATCTCCTACATTTCTCACCCGGCTTATTTGTTGTTTCTTTCCTTGGTGCAGCATAAGACCATTGATAGTGTGCTTGCACGAGGTGAGAGACTTGACAGTTTAGTTGAGAAGAGTTCAGATCTTAGTGCAGCATCGCAGGTACAGACAATTATTGTGAACGACTATGAATTTGCCACTGCACACTCTCACATAGTACATTTGATCTTCATATGTGTGTAAGCCCATGTCATGTTAATTACCTATAATTTGAAGTGTGATGTCAAGGGCTTTGGGATCTTTCAATATCTAGAAAAGTTGATAGAACACAACCTTTTGGTGTGTCTAGGTGTGAGATAATGCAATATGTTATTTTGCCTGCCACAAATATTATGGTGTTAAATAGCACTTATGATGAGATACACTGCCAATCATGTGAAGGCATCATTGTTTAAAATGACTTGTTGCCTGGCTTTCTAAACGTGTTGTAGTGCTTGAACAAGGGTTATGTTACCTTAGTTGAGTCCAGAAAAGCAATGTCAAGTTTTCACTGTACAATATTTAACATTGGAAAAATACCATAATTGCCCAACGACATGATGCTAGGAAGATCCCACCTAATTTTATCTTAGTTTGAAGATTAGGTTCATGTATTATAATTTGATTTTGCCAATCTGTCTTGGCTGTGGAACACACACACATATCATGACTGATTTCAGCCTTTTTTTTATTATCCATTGTTCTTTTTAATTATTTGGCGAGGAAGGGATTATGGATTTGTGATTCCCGATGCAAACAAAAATATGTTAAACCACAATATTTGCCTCTTGAAATTTGGAATTAAAGGTTTTTTTAAAGTGAGAAGATGATGACGGTGGTTTTTGAAACAGATGTTCTACAAGCAGGCAAAACAGGCCAATCAGTGTTGTACCATATTGTAAGCTTCTGAGGCGAGTAGCAATCCTGCAATGACAATCCCTTGATATGGTGCTGAAGTTGATGGATTACAATTTAACGATTGTAATATGTTCATAACATTTGTCAATTGTTTGCTTGGTAGAATTGTGTGGATTTTCCTCATTTTCCTAGGTATCAAAGAAGGGAAACCAAATATTTATAGAGGTTTCCTGCTATTATAGTATTAAATATTGTTTCTGTTTGGAAACACGAGTTTGCGCATCTGCCTGGGTGTATGTGATATTCTCATTACAATTTTATAAAATATATGTCATTGCTTTCAGAGTTTAGAGGATATAAAAGAATTCTGAGTTATATCGGACATTAGTGATAGGTCCAGAATGTTTATGGATAACTGAAAGTCCATTGCAGGACGAGGGTGCTGTTATGATGTTGATTTGGTCGCATTTCAAGTGATCAGGTGATTAAGATCCTGTAAGAATCTCTATATCGTCCTCATTTGCCTCGCCCCCACCGAACAAATATCCATGTGACCAGAGAAAGTAACGTGTCGACATGGTCCTCCATACGGATAAAATGCTGATAAGAACGGAAAAAGAAGCCTCTCCCAAGAGATATACGTCAATTGAACTGTAAGCCACTTGTTTTTTGTCCTCCTGCCTTGCAGAAGCGTGTAGAAGCTCATAAAAATCAAACCGACAGAAAATTTTAAGTAAAGAGTGATCTCATCAAAATATCATTAATGAGCTGTGATCTCATCAAAATATCATTCAAAATCCACAGGTACAAATTACATAGGACCAAACAGAAGGAATTTTTTCAATACTAACAGGCTTCTTCAGAGTTCATCGCATACACACACAAACAGTCTCGACTCTGCAATAAACAAACTACTAAAACATACACAAATTAACAAACGACAGTGTTTCTTATTACAAATACCTACACATCCTCAAACCCCAAATATGCTATTGCTAGCTATCAGAAACTGTCTACTTTCCCAGGAGGGATTTGAACCACCAGATGCCCTTGGTGTCTTTGGGGCCTTCTTCTCCTTCCGGTGGAGTCTCACTCTGCGGTGTCTTGTGGAGTTTGCTAACATCATATTCCTCATCCTTGGCCCTTTGAACTAGCTGGTTGTAGATTTCATCATCAAGACGAGGCTGCCTGCTTAATATCTGATCAAATTCCCCAACCCCCCAAAAGCAAAAAGAAGAAAAGTTAAATCCAAATACAGACAAAGCACAACAAATCTCCAAAGGCAATTTTAATAAAATAAAAAAATTACCCAAAGGTAATTCCTGCTAGGCTGGCCAATCAAAGCATACTGATAATCCTCATCAATAAACAAAACCCAGTAATCACCAACAACAGGGATGATGGGCAAAAATGGAGGAACGTAGAATTTCACTTTGAGTTTGGCCTCTTCGCTGGAGGGGTCGGCCTTGTATGCAGTGCCCTCTATGGAGCTTCTTTTTCCATCAGACCAAGTCTCATTGAGCACGTTCACAGTCCCATCATCTCTCAGAGTGTAGGTAGCCCTCGTATTCTCTCCATTCTTGGGCTGAAACCTTGACGGAAATGAGGCTATCTCGTACCAGCGCCCCATGTACCTCTGCAAATCCAGACCCTTCACCACATCCATCGTTTTCTTCGCCATTGTTTCTTATGGTTTCTAGGTTTCGAGAAAGTGAGTGACCAGAACGGGAGAGTTTTTGGGGGTTTTATTATGTTTGTGGTCTGTTGATAAGGTGCGGAGGTGGCTTCAGTTTAGTGGCTTTTGTTTGGGGCGAAAGGTGACTTAAATGAGCGACGTGGGGCTTTCTCGGCTTTACACGTGTAGGGTGTGAATAGTTGAACTTGCCGCACATTGCGGTTGGGTTTTATTTTTCTTCCGGAAACATGGAGGTAGAAATTTCTGTTTTGATTTGAAGACATCAAGCTTGGGGAGGAAGAAAAAGCAACTTGTGGTAGGAGCTTGAAAGAAAAGCAAGCTAGCTAAGAAGCATTAAGCTTTGTCATTGTCATTGGCTTGTGAAACCAAGAATTGTAGATAAAATATCAAAATCAAAGAGAAGGGGGAGGGGGGGTGACACAAAGGGAGTCAAATCTCGAGCCCCAGTCACTAATTAAATCATGGACCACGCATGCGTTGTATCCTTGTAACTGATAAGATCAAGTGATTAGTCATCTCCCGAAAAAAGAGAAACAAAATCAGTCGATAGGATATGTACAAACTTTACCGTACCAATAATTAGTGATCGGCCCATATTCAGTGCCGTTTCTCCATGGAAGATGGAATGACCTCAACCTTAAGCATGGGCCTGGTTCTGAACACATGCAATTCAACACAGGTTTGGTTTCTGGACTGGATGAAATAATCTTTCATCATGAAAGCCCAGAGACTAAAAGCCCACAAAGGAAAAGCTTGCAGCAGGCCCGCTATATCTAAGTTTTTTTATATCAGAATTAAGAAGTTAAAGAATATGTGTTGCTTTCGCTCGCTCATACAGTTACACTAGATCTTGTAATAATTGCTTTGACTTGAGGGAAAAACAGAGGTCCTTTACCAAACTAAACTTACTACCTCTGCCACTGTAACATTATTTTTCATGATTACAGCTCATTAATGGGGAGCCACTGACTTCTTCAAATTACAGTTTTGCTTTAACAAAACTTAGCAGTCATAGATTCCAAGTTAGATCTCGCTTTCCCCAAATATAGTGACACACTAACAAAGGAAAAACACATCAAGAGAGAGAGAGAGAGAGAGAGAGAGAGAGAGAGAGAGAGATGTCAAGGCGATCTGCTACTTGTTTGAGATGTTGTTTGGTGGTGTTTGCAGTAGTTTCAGCATTGGGGGTATGTGGTCCGGCCTTGTATTGGAGGTTCAAGAAGAGTATAAGGTTGGTGGATTCTAAAACTTCTTGCCCTACCTGCAACTGTGATTGCCCTCCTCCTTTGTCCCTTCTCAAGATTGCACCTGGTACCACTCTCCCTCTCCTTCTTTCTCAATATGGGTTTCTTGTCGCTTTGATTTCTGATTTCTTATGTTTCGTTTCTGGGTTATTTTGAAAGTATGATTTTTTCTTAATTGGAATGAAACTTATGGTTACCCATGTCATCAATTTGGGGTTTAAATCCTTCTTATTGCTAATTTTTGATTTGGAGCTGCCTATGTGTTGGGAATATATGTAGGAAGTGGAACCCAATTCAGGTTTAGATTTACTTTTTTTTTCTTCTTTGTATGTCTGATTTTAAGCTGAATAGAGTGAAATTATAATTTCCCTTTTGATAGGTTTGTGGCTTTGATCTGGTGTTATTGTTTTTTTTTCCGAGCTGTTCTCTTTTGTTGGGTAATTCTTGTTTGATTGAGTTTTGAGTAAAGTTGAGATCTTGCCTTGTGTTGTCTTTACTTGCACTGTTATACTATGTCTTTACTCTGTTATACTATTGTGCTTGAAAGGAAATACAGCACTACCTGCATATCATATGTGCACTCTTTAAAATTGCTATGGGCTGTATGAAGTCTTTCTGATCTGAGTTTATGAATCCACAATGCGCTCATTTTGTGGCAACATAAACCAGTTTTAAACTCAGACATTGTTAACCATGTTTCGGATACTCCTGGGAGCTGGAAAGTCTTACTTCAACGTATAATGATTCTCAAATATGCTAGCAATGAGTATTGATTTGTGTATATTGTTAAACTGCTGTTAATCTGCTGGGAAAATCTATTGATTCTCGAAGGCATTTCCCAAAATCTATTGTAATCTGAGAGTTCATTTTTACTCATATAATAACATATGTCATGTTTTTGTTATTCTTTTGCAGGATTGGCCAATCTCTCAGTCACAGGTTAGAATGCATCCTATCGTTCAACTCATTGTGTTATCATTTTCCTTCATTGCATTCATTAGTATTAGCTTGGCAACAAGGTCGGTAGAACCTGTTAACAAATATTTAATAGTCATTATAAGCTTTCATCCACTGCTTTTGAGAAATGCCTTCCCTAGTTGTTTATTGCGAACTATGTATAGGTACGTGGGTCTGTAATTATTTTTGTTGATGGACAGATTGTGGAAGTAATGACCCAGATCTGAAGCAGGAAATGGAGAAGCAGTTTGTGGACCTTTTAACAGAGGAATTGAAGTTGCAAGAGGCTGTTGCTGCAGAGCACACCCGACACATGAACATCACATTTGCTGAAGCAAAGAGGGTGGCTTCTCAGTACCAGAAAGAAGCAGAAAAGTGCAATGCTGCAACAGAAACTTGTGAGGAGGCAAGAGAGCGTGCTCAGGCATTGTTTATCAAGGAGAGAAAGGTGACTTTGTTGTGGGAAAGACGAGCCCGTCAAATGGGTTGGGAAGGGCTATAGTTTGTAAAACCGGATTGCGAGTTGTTCGGTTCAGTTCAACTACTGATTCGTCTTTCTCTGCGGTATTTATACATACAACCAAGCAAAATTGCATGGATTGTTCCTTCCCCTGTTACAGCAAAAATGATCCCTCTCTCTCTCTCTCTCTCTTCCAAATGTAGTTGTACTTGTATTGCCCACAAATGGCATATAGATATCAGATTTTTGCTTTATAAACAAAATGTTAAGGATCCCTTTTCCCATTTTACTACAATGAGATGATGTTTACAATCTGCCAGTGCATTAATTCAAGCAGGGGTTTTGGTGGCCTCCATAGATCACAGAAAACTGATGTTTGAGAATATACTAATCTGTAATGGGAATCAAAATAAGGAGTTGAATTCCTATTACGGATTACTCCTGTATTTACTTCACATAAATGAATGGAAAAGCAATCTCATCCCAGGTTATACTTTCATGATGAATAAAGTGGTGTTTGAGAATATACTTGCATGTCATATGTCAGCATCAAGTGTTATGACTACAGAAGCCACCCAAGTCATCAAATTATATTTGAGCAAACAAAACAAAATCTTGAAGGTGAAGAAATTTTGGACTCGACACAATATTCCAAGAACATGGGTTCCACAGCTATTAGCAAAACCAAAGGAAACCTCAAATTACTTGAACAGGGTTTGGCAGTGAACTCATAAATGGTCTTTTCTGTCGGCGCAGGTGACACTGACAGCCAGCCATTGACTTCCTCATCATCTTTAGGCAAAATCAAGTAATCAACGGCTCTCACTGCCTCACCGCCATTTGTTGCATGATGCTTATCCTTCCACACAACACACACAAAACATAATGATGGTCAAAGGACTGATACATATGTAAATATTAATATATAATATGTCACAAATCCAAAAGTTGCACCAAAAGACGCGGTTCGGACGGACTTTCAACGTTCATGCACTCACAAGGCACATCCAACCCCAGCTGTGAGGCTATGACGTTGAATTATTTTAAGGGGCAATAATATTTTAACATGCAGACCCATTATTATAATCTTTTTTAGATCAGATATAATATAAAAGTAGAAAAGAAAACGATGTAGATCCACCAAAAACTCAACAAATACATCTTTTCAATTAATACCTAGATCAGGGAGGAAAACCAAAAAAAGACATAATTGTCGTTTGGGGTCTGAAAACTTGACGCTTAATAGGTTTTGATTGAGTTCTTCATTCTATGAAGCTTCTGTGACTATATACGTGGATATACTTTGATCCATCTTGGGTTTCCAAGTTTGGGAAGTATTTTTTAAAGAGTTTTGGCGGCCAGGGTTGGATAAGTTTCTGAAAATGGAAAGTTCAGGAAGCATGAGGGTGGAGAAGAGAGGGTATGAAGAGGGCGTGGAATTGGATGATGATGCAGAAGAAGGCCACCCGCCAGAGCCAAAGAAGCAGAGATTGCCCGCTTTGGCAAGGTTTTTATTTCCTATTTTGATATTTGGATTTTATGACTTGTTTCTGCTAATTAAGGGGTAGGTGCTAATTCAGTTGTAAGAATTTTTAGGCTGACTTATTTTGCATTTACACACACTCCCCTCTTGAATCATCTCTATGCAAGCGTTCAATATCATTTTCTTTAAAGACTATTGTTTATACAGTTCATTATTTGCAGTGTAATTGTGGAATCTTTGAAGGTAGATAGCTTGCAAAGACTTTGCTCATCTTTGGAGCCTCTTCTCCGCAGAATTGTGAGTCAGATTGTCACTCTTTGCATATTAGAGTAGAGTTGAGGTTGAAACTAGCTGCACTCAGATGATGATCAGTCCCTTCTGGGATAGCAAATCATTGTTTTCTTCCCTTTCCCACCTTTCCAAAACAATGAATTATAGCATTTCATTTTTATTTTTCCTGCAAAGTCACTTTATGCATAGCATGGCTTTCCGTGTGTTTTACTTTTCCCACTAATTTAAACAAAGAAAGCACATTAAGTTGTTAGTATCCTGCCATCGATAATGCTGAAAAAAAATCTGTGGCACGTAGTATTTCCTGGCTATACTTTCTTCAAAACATTGCCTTCAGTCTTATGTAAAACCATGCATTGTTTGCAGCAAGTTAGCATCCTTTTGATCATTCTGAAATTCTTTTTGAGTAACAGGTTAGTGAAGAAGTGGAGCGTGCTTTGACAAAGTTAGACCATGCTGAACTGGCTGGAAGGTTTGTTTCAACCATAGTTTTGTCTCCTTGGTTCATTTTGAGAGTCCTAGACTATGGTTCCAATTAGAATTTAAAAATATTCAAAGCAGATGTTATGCTTTCTTCTTCAGATTTTCGTAAATTATCATGTTTTGTTTCTTTCTTTCTCTGTAATGGTGTGTTGGTTGGAAGGTTGGGGTGGGAAGCCGTATCAAATTCATTGTTTGCACTTTCCAAAATACTGCAGGTCTCCACCACCAAGAATACAGGGCCCAGAAGGAAGAACTCTGCAACTACAATTCAAAACAAGAATGCCTCCTCATCTGTTCACAGGTGCAAAGGTTGAAGGAGAGCAAGGAGCAGCAATTCATGTCGTCATGCTAGACCACAGCACAGGCACTGTTTTGCAAACAGGGCCTGAATCAGCTGCAAAACTGAATGTTGTGGTGCTGGAAGGTGACTTTAATGAGGAAGCTGATGATATTTGGACCAAAGAACACTTTGAAAACCATGAAGTAAAGGAACGTGAGGGGAAAAGGCCACTTTTGACAGGGGATCTACAAATTACTCTCAAGGAAGGGGTAGGTACTCTTGGAGATCTTACCTTCACTGACAATTCTAGCTGGACAAGGAGCAGGAAATTCAGGCTTGGTGTTAAGATTTCCCCTGGATATTGTGAGGGCATTCGTATTTGTGAGGCTAAAACAGATGCTTTTTCTGTTAAAGATCACAGGGGAGAATGTGAGTTTTCTGAAGTTTGCCATTTTAGCATTTACTAATGATAGAACAGTCTGCAGTACATATGCTAATCAAGTTAGGGGGTCTAGGAGCCACTATGTCTGCCTGGGGCAGAGAGCATAGCCCAGTATTAGTTGATCAGACTCAGAATGCATTCCTCTAGTCATAATTAGGATTGATGACATAAACTTCTTGGTCATTTTGGATTCTTGCATATATCTTCCTGACTTGCAGTGTCATACATTTTGGTTAGTGTACCTTGAGTCTGATATGCCGTTATTCCTTTATATGTATTACAAAATACCTTTAAAGCTTGTCTTAATGAAGTCACTGTTTCTGCCATTTGTAGTGTACAAGAAACACTACCCACCGGCTTTGCATGATGAAGTTTGGAGATTGGATAGAATAGCAAAGGATGGAGCTCTGCACAAAAAACTGATTAAGGCTGAGATTGTAACTGTTGAAGACTTTCTTCGCCTCCTTGTCAAGGACCCACAGAAATTAAGAAGCGTAAGCATCTCTTGCATTTATCTTTAAACACCCTTCTCCCTTGCTCTGGTATTCTTACTTCTAAATTTCAAAATATAGATGCTTGGGAGTGGGATGTCCAATAGGATGTGGGAAAATACAGTGGAGCATGCAAAAACTTGTGTCTTGGGTGGGAAGCTCTATGTTTACTACACTGATCAAACTCACAGCACTGGTGTTGTTTTCAACCATATTTATGAGCTTAGGGGCCTTATTGCTGATGGGCAGTTTCTTCCTTTGGAGTCGCTTACCCACAGTCAGAAGGTTGGATGTTTTTAACTATTGGGAAATGCTGTGATAATTACTTATCACTTTAAACATGGCTCACCCATTTGGAGCTCTACATGCAGGTTTCAGTGGATTCTCTGGTGAAGAGAGCATACAATAATTGGCATCAAGTCATAGAATATGATGGAAAAGTCTTACACTCTCTTGTCAGCATCAAAAAGGTTACGAGAGCCTCAGCTGCACCTGTGACTGTGGCCGACCACAACAATTATGCTATAGACCACCATTCTGCAGCTGCTCAGAACAGGCAGCAGTATACCTCTCAATTCAGCGAACAGTTCCAAACAGAAAATAACCACCCATCAGTCCCTCAGTACATTGAATTTCCATTTGTGAGGTCCGATCAAACAGCATTGATTAAATTTAATAACCCAGAACCAGCAGCATTATCTGGCAGCATGGATTACATGCCAGTTGGAGGTTCACATTTTTCAGGAGATTGGTCACGGCCAAACAACGGGAGTGGATTGGAAGATTTCGTGGCTGATGAAATCCGTTTCAGGAGTTCAGAGATGTTGGAGAGTGATGACATGCAAAGACTGCTCAAGACATTTAGTGTGGGAGTCGGTGTAGGAGCAGGAGCGGGTTTTGGTGCTTCTGATGAGGCTTGTTACAATTACAGTGTACAGTATGAGCCTCAGATAGGCCAGTCATTCAGGAAGGAGCAAGCAAAGAGCTCAGGAAAGGCTGTAGTTGGATGGCTTAAGCTCAAAGCCGCTTTAAGGTGGGGAATATTTATTAGGAAGAGAGCTGCAGAAAGGAGAGCTCAGCTCACCGAGCTAGACTGAATCAAATGCTTGAGTTGGGTCCCTCCTATGTCAACCGCCGCAGCCATCACAGAAATCATTTGTGTTTGTTGATTTGAGATGCTTAATGTTCTATTTGCTTTCAAAAGTGACACGCTGAAAAGAGAATGAAAATTAGGAATTTAATTCTATTTTGGAAAATTTCAATGTTCTTTTATCTTCTTCGTCCAGAACTTGTTATTTGATACTGTATGAGGCAAGGACCACCTGGCAAATGTCATATTTTAGAAACCTCACCATTCCCATGCCAAAACAAGAAAAATAATGGAACCTTTGAGCGTCGCTTTCCATTGCAATCAGAATCTCATTTTCGGGTTCCTTATTAAATGGGCAAGTGCAGATTTGACCAAGTATCAACGATAAAGGCCCCAAAAACAGTAAGATGTTTAACAATCATAAAGCTAAAGAGTCCGTTATTTCATCGTAAATAATTGTAAAAGGAAACAAGGAAGAAAATATGAAAAAATGATATACAGAAAGTTGACAACTTATTATGCCATTAGCCAATTACTCCAAACAGAAGAAAGAACTGAAAACATGCGAGTCTGCTGTTTGCAACTTGCAAGGACATAAAAGTTGGCAACAGAACATGAGTAGAAGATGGGAAGAAAAACTACACGAGAGAGATGAAGAAATTACATAATGATACAAGTTTCTCATAGAGCAGGAGTAAACTGCTGCGATGCCGCCACCATTATATCCGGCAGGAATTAGCACTAGTGTAGGCTGATCATATACATGATCCTAGAGAGTAAGCATCAAATCCAAAACTCTCCATCCATTAGCATATTCTCATTTTGTCCCTGTACAACAGTCTTCATATTATATACTGTTGAAGAGGAGGAGAAATAAAAAGTACAAATATACAAGACAGATAAGAGACACTGAAAATAAGGTGTAACAGAAACCAGGAATTCTTTCTATAATGAGATAAATAGTAATTATTCAACTTTCCAAAGCAAACACAAAACAGAACATGTTAATATGGATAGGACACGACACTTAAACAAGCACAAAAACGTAATTTAGGTTGTATCTCTATATACAGTGCATATTTAGACATTCTCCACTCTCCAGCAAATCTCTACCACATAATAATACAGAGAAAGGAAAAAACATAAAGGAAAACAGACCGAATCTATTACTACTAAAATAAATGCGCCTTTCAAAATTTGTGCCTTGTAAATTACTGCTTATTTAACAGACTTCCATGAATCAAAATAGATACATTAATTCTAGACAAGATGCAAGACATAATGCAATGTATAGACCAGACCATATTCAACATCAAATTATAGAGCTTCTACTGTAAAAAATGAGATCTTCTTTTTAACTCCAATATGGCCTATCTTACTCCTTTCTCAACAAAGGAAAAATGATACTGCATACATCAATAAGGATATAAGATCTAATACCCACTTCAATATGACTCAGCCAAAATAAGAGAACAAATCAATAATGGAACGGCCTTGTTATAAGCAGTTTTTTAATCATACCCCTTTCATTATCGCACCCATGATATCATTCAACGATTCATAACTATTTTGAACTAAACCATCATGCGACTTTGTTTGCTCCCACAGGTAGTCCTCACTGGGCTTCATCTTTGTTCCCATGGCAGATTTCTCAACCTCACTGAGCTGCATGACAGTAGGAGTGGCCCCATTTAACTGGTCAAATAAAGATGAATTCATCTTTTTACTGCAGACTGCATCACTTTGGTCCAAACTCTGGCATAGGGGACTCACAATAACATTAGCAGAAACCGTGGGATTTGTGGCACTGAAAGTTAGATTCAAGTTGTGGTTGTAATCTCGCTTATGTTCTTCCCACCTTTGCTTTGGTGTGCAATCCATGGTTGGCACAACATCTCCAATCAAGCCTTCTTGGTTCCACATATTTCCTCTTAATTCCTCAGCAGGACCTGGAAGAACACTTAAAGACGAAATATCATTTGGACTGTTCCCAATTTCAGGCCTAGTAGAAGAAAGACCCAAGTTATTCGCATGCAATTGACCATGATCGAAAGGCTCACTCATTGGCAAATCATTCGATGGAAACTTAGATAACTGAACTGCAACCTGCCAACTTTCACTACATCGATTGTCATCCAGAAAATTAGAGGAGATTCCAATGTCAAAAGATTCTGGATTCAATGAAGCCAAACTAAGAGAAGACCGATTTCCAAATACTCCCATACCAAGTGCTTGTTGTGGGTTCCTGTGTAATATCAAAGGACTGCTTGAAGTAATGGAATCAGAATGAATTGAGCTAACAGACACACTTGTGTCTGGAAAGCTAGAGGGTACTGAATAACTTGTTGGATCATTATTGGGATTGGACTCTCCAATGTGAGCAGTATGCTTGCCCTGCTGCGATTGATTGAGTTCTAATGATGTTGGAATTGATTCATACAAATTTGGACTTTGGTTTGCAGGCAGAGCTGGCTGGAGCTTTACAAGATTACTAATAGAGTTGCTCAAGTTTTGGGAGTGACCAGGTTGGACCAGACCAGAAGAAGTAATTCCTCGTATGCTCAAACCAGCCGGGGAGTTTAATCTACCAAGCATCCCACCTGGTGTGTATGGTGATAAAGTGGCATTTGAGAGTCTTCGTGATCCAGCTAAGGACCGTAGATCTCCAAATCCATCTAGTGCACCCATGCGCATGTAAGAGGAATCTTTCCCCCCAAAAGCAGCAACCATGCTAGCTTGTTGGGTTGCAGTACTGCTGAGTCTTTTGAGGCAGAGCCTATATTTCTGCAACACAAAGTGAGAGCATAAGCGTGGTCGCAAAACCTAGTTTTCTGACAAGCCCAAAAGAAGTCATAGTGTTAAAACATTAAAGAATAGCTAGAATAGAACATTATCGCCATCACTTCTCTCACTAGAATGATTCTTTGAGTTGTTTCCAGATATTTCATGCTAAGTGTTTGATGGTGATTACAACATCGCATTTATATACATATATTATTAAATCACATGTATATGAAAATACAGATTATTCCTGGGTCGAAAAAAATATTTGATTTCGAATTCCAGAATTCTTGCAGCAAAGTTATTCTAAAAGTAAGGCAAAGGAAATATTAGTACCTGCAGATGGCTGGCCACATTTTCCCTCGTGAGTCCTTGAACATTCATCAGGTCAAGAATTTTCTTAGGAACAGCCCCTGCATATAGATTAAGGAAGAGGGGGGAAGAAACATTAGTCAAGAAGATAATCTGTATAACAAAAGCAACACATCACTTCTCTGGAGCAGAAGACTCACTTTCAAGTCCCAACTGATGTACAGCTGCAACAAACTTTCCATGCAGCTCTTTTGACCAAACTACCCGAGGCTTCTTTTGGGTGGATGGGTCCTCATTCTCATGTTCATCGTCTTCATATTCCTCTTCCTCATCTTCATTTTGGTCCTTTCTTTTTCTATTGAATTTTCCATTCTGATCTGAGCTGCCTGCTGGTGAAACCCCCTGTCCCCCTTCTCCAGTTTCATGGCAAGCCTTTTCTTGACTGGATGACTTGTTTTGGTCCTTGGAGTCGAACTTCTTTCTTCGGATTACATGTTGCCAGATATTCGTGAGCTCTTCCTTTCGAACAGGCTTCAACAAATAGTCACAAGCACCATGGGAGATTCCCTTCATTACAAGCTCTTTATCACTATGTCCTGACAACACTGGGACCATTTTACAACACAAAAATGATGTTAGTAACCAATTCATCTCCCACTTCTTCAACAATCACTATCTACTGCTCAACATGAAATGGGGCCTAAGCAGGTTTTTTAGTATTAAAATAAAAGCCAGAAGTGTAACAGATACCAAAGAAAACTCAAATTATTTTTTTCACTTGCACTTAAATCAATTCTAACAAGATTAAAAAAGTTGTATTTTACGTCCAAGGATCCAGGATAAGTTCATGCTTACTAATCACAGGTAGGTCCATTTCCAGCCCTAAGAGCTCAAGTAGCTTAAAGCCATCCATGTCTGGCATACTTACATCAGTGATCACCAGGTCAAACCTATTTCTGCTTTCCCTCAACATTAGCAGTGCCTCGACTGCCTGAGTGGTCGTAGTAACTGCAAAAACCAGAAATCACGTAAACGATTCCAGTACCAAAGTTTAACCACTACTGGATTTAAGCGGATATTTTCGGAGCCCATTTAGTAAAACAGTGGAAAGAGCCTGACGAAAACTTGAATAAACAGTTTATGAACAGGAAATTGAGACTCTGCATAGTTTGAGTTTAACAAGCTACTTCTTCCTTTATATCTAGACAAACAAACTAATTCAAAATTAAATAACGGAATTTACATTATACTTCACAGTCGCCCGCGCGCGCACACACACACACACACAATTTGTTAGAACAAATTGACTAGAACTTGAAGAAAACTAAAAGCAAATTCCTCCAAGGGAAAAACAATACGAGGAGAAGAAACAAACCTTGATACTGGCAATTCTGAAGGAGCCCCTCCAATAATCTGAGACAAATTGGATTGTCGTCAACAGCCAGGACACGCATACCCACCGGGAAACGGTCCATAGCCCCATCCTCACCAACCAAACCTCCCCTCTGGGCCTTCACAGTCATAGTGGATCAACAACTTCAAAGAGCGTGAGGAGAAAACAGAGATTAAGGGCTCGAGCAAAAGCTGCAATTTTTATTAACAGATTCAACTTTCCGGGTCTTTTTTCAACAACCCCAGAAAAGAAAGAACATGAACAAATAGACCAGAAGAAGAAATGGAGGGGGATAAAACAAATTTAAAAACTAAGAAAGTGGCTAGAGAGAGAAAATGTGAGTAGAAGTAAATGCTGTAGAAACGGACAATGATGGTGATGGCCAGAAGAACAGAGTGAACTAGAAATCCTTTTAGTATTTTAAGTGAAAGTCTCTCTCTCTCTCTCAGAATTGTTTGTTCTTCTCTCTCTTCTGCGTCCTTGTCTTCCGCTTTTTCTTCTAAATACAATAGAAAAGCCTTTATCTTTAATGGATTTTATAATACAAAGCTTGTCTTCTCTCAAGCTGTGTTCCTTTTTTTTAATTAGGTAAACTCTTTCCTCTTGTCTCATCTCTCTGTTTGTAACATATATATATATATGTATATGTATATGATGTCCATAACAGGTCAATGGACCCTATCATTTTGGCATTTAATATTTAATCACCAACTCATGAATGTTTTTTTTGGCATCTTGTTTAGTCAATGTGAAATTTTGAAATGCATCTTAGGGTTATTACAGGTTTTAGCAGCAGCAACGCCTGTCATAAGTCAGCTTCTAATGGAAATGGCGGGTAAAACGGTCCGTCGGATTTGGGGTATTATTATGGTGAGTCAGAGGACATTCTGTTTAGGTTACTTGGACACCGACTGCCCTAATTTCTTGGGCATTTAAATTATCCTTAAATTTTCTGTTTTTGGTAAATTAATTGTATCTACCCGCAAAAATTCCTTATAGGTCTTATTTTACAATGTGTTTTCTCTTTTGAGTATGGCGGGGGCACTATTTTTATGTTCATAATGAAGGGTGGAGTATAATTAACATATAATTGGGTATTATTATTTATTACTTATTACTAGGAGGAGCGTGTATTTCACATTTCCAGAAAGAGAGTCTCAGACTTTGAGCTGAATAAAGTGCCAAAAATAGCACACAACCGAAGCCATCTCAGTATGTGTTAGGACGATGCCACGTTTCGGATTCTCATTGGGAGACTGAGTCCTCGGTGGGACCCGCTTTAGATTCCAGGGACCCTTGAAGACCAGAACCAGAAAGAAATGCAGCCTTCACGACAAACGACACGTCGGTCCCAGGATATGAGTAAGAGAGAAAGAGAGAGAGAGAGTGCACATAAATAAATTAGGAAGGAAAATTACATAAGCTCATGTGGGATCCGCTGCTCACATGGTTGATTTGATGGTTACGGGCCTCTGGCCTTAAAGGTCACGTGACCTCAGAGCAGCTGAGCTCAAGGAGTGGATTTATTCAATTTCCCATTGACTTTATTTATTTAGGGTTTAAATTGGTAAAAGGCTATCATATCTTTCACTCAGAAATTAGCAATCAGTAGTAATGAGAATTCGTTATATTAATAATAACAATAATGACTAAATGAATGAATTAAATGAATAACCTCATAATGTGGAATTGATTCATTTCAAACATTTGTTCAATCTCAATAGAATGCAGCTGCTGCAACAACTGCGACTACATGTAAATGCAATGTGATGTACTAAACTTAAAGCAATTAACCAATTTGAGACTAAAAGAAAGAACACGAGGTCATGAACATAGCCAAATTTTTTATACCAACCTTTTTTAACTTTTTAAATAATTTTTTTTTCTTTCTAAAAATGCAGCCCAAATTCTTTTATCAGTGATGTGCAATGCAAGAACCACTTGAGAAACATGCTATTTTAATATGGTCTGCCACTTAAAGAACATATATGCTTCCACCTCTCCTAGTTTCCATATGCTACCACTATTGGATTGACCCTTCCTTAATGGTTCAGCTTTAGCAAAGTCTAAATAGTAATTATTTATGTCTTATTAGTACTTGAGTGCACAAAACATGCTACAACAACTGATGCAGCAGGCTTATTAAAATTGTTTTGAAGATAAAAAGTCAAATCAAAGCTAACTAATTATATATAGAGGTACATTCTCTAATAAGCATTTAAGTTAAAGATTAGTTACATGCTTTTAATTTTGGGCGTTGGATTGCATCTAAGAGACTACCAACACACTTAACGAATGCAATCCAACGGCCAAAATTAGAAATATGTAATAAATCATTAACATAAAATACTTAATAAAGAATCTCCCTATATATACAATCCCCTTCTAATCTAAACCGTCTATTTTGTAAATATTCATTCAAAGATCATATCTTCAAAAAAAATAATTTGAATCCGATATCATTTGACCATTCAATTTAATTATTGAAATTTTAGTATTTTCTTGAAGCAATGCGTTCATTTATTTTGTATGATACAATTAGATGTCGAAACGGTTTCCGATTTGTGTAATTTTTTATAAGGATGATCTATGAATGTAGACTTAAAAAAACATATGGTTTGGATTGTATATATGTATATATAAATTAATGGAGTACCAAGTTCTATTGGGCCAAGAACGTAAATCAAAGCAACCCATGTATTTTCTCTACTGAAGTTGATGATAGTCTCTTTACATAGAGATAGAGCTCAGTGCTTTAAATTATACAAGAAACCCCAGATCAGGAACCAAACCTCTAGAAATTGTACATGTAAGTTCATTCCCTATCTCAAAAAATGGTCATCTGAACTGAACTAGATCTGGATCAAACATTCTAGGTATGATTCCTCCTATCTGTTCCTCTACCAAGAAAAATACCAGGCTGGATAGCTACCTTGCTGCCAAAGCAAAGCAATCATAGCTATTCGTGTAGACAGGGTGACAATGCAGTGGAACTCTCTGTTTCCATTCCCTACTTCTCAACTGATATCAAGAAAACCAGCTATTTTTTTCCAAATCTCAAGCACTTGTTGTGTTTTACTTCTGTGATACTTGGGTTAGAAGTGAGTTGTTTCTTCGTTTGTTTAGCGAGCGAAAGTTTCTCCATCGCATTTATGAATTTGCGTAAGTGCTTAATGTACTCAGGATATGTTTCGAGATTGCAGTGGCCTCCACCCTTGACCCATAAGGGATCATACTTTTCCTTGGAAAGTTCCCATAAACGCTTTCCATGGGACCAATCAACAATTTCATCATCTGTTCCCTGCAAAATAGTCCGTTTAAACATGCATATCGATCAATCAAATCAGAAGCAACCATTCATACGAGAACAATGGGAATCTGAATAAAGCCACAAAGTGTAAGATCTTTCAATTGCATGTTTAGGATTACACATATTGTTGTAATTGTTAAAGTTAAAGCCTTTTGTTAGGAATTAAATCCAAAGGAGGTGTCTAACTGTAATTTTTCCTTTCACTAATCACAACAGGTTCTTGATACTGATATAAAATCTACTTTCTCTAGTGATAATGTTTTTGATAAGTTTTTCACTTCTTAAAATCATTTTATAAAAGTATCCATTAATGTGAAATACGTATAATTGTAATATTTGGTAGTTCCTGTAGGAGTTTACTATTTTGTATCCAAATTTCCATTATTTAACAAGGAAACTTCACATGTAGGATCAATTCCAAGCTTCCTGGCCTCTTTATGAACTACCAGAAAAGAATCTTTTACCAGTCCTTTCCAAATGGCAACTGACATTAGTCTGGTTGAGGAAACAAGCAACAAAATCATATGAATTAAGCCAGCTCTAGTATTTTTTTTTCTTCCTTTCTTTTTGGACAGATGAAACTTATTCAAATCCAAAGAAAAACGTTGTTCAGTTTAGTTGATAACAAAATAGCTTTTCATTCTTAAGTTACGACTCTTTAATGTTTTTCATCAAACAGAAGTTAAGAAAAAGGTGAGGAGGGAGGAGAAAACAATAGAACCACAGCACAAATACTTTGAATTCTAAAAGAATGGTACTCAAACAAAATAATTGAAGGGAATAAGTACTTACATGTATAACTAAAACCGTACAGTTGACGTGCCGTATTTTGTCTATATTCTGAAAATATTGCAGAGGGATTTTCAGTACAAGTTCAATAAACTGAGCTCTGTAACAGAATAAGAGATTCAAAGAACAGCTTACTTTGAAAATGTCAAACCAAAACGTCAACTTGACGGGATACAAGACTCGTATGCCTGACAAGATGGCACTATGAAGAACAACGGCTCTCAGTTTCTGTAAGCGAGAACCCAAGTGCAGTGTTGGTCCGCTTCCAACAGATTGGCCATACAGTATCAAATCCTCTTGTCTTATTTCGTAGTCGTTCTTTAAACAATCGTACACAGCTTCTATGTCATAATATGTGTTGAACTCAGATGGCTAAAAATTTACCAACATTAACACTTTTCAGTCATAGAGTTTGCAGTTCAATGCAGGTCAATAGATTGACAGAAGGATGTAAATTTAAGATTTTAAATAAAATAAATCCCATACTTCTGTAATGTCATATTTCAGAGCCTGCACTAAACTTCCAAATCAAAGAGAAACTTTTAGTGCAAACTAACTTCATAGATTACTTAACACTGACTTACCTTACCAGTTGATGCTCCATATCCTGAATAGTCATAGCTGCCACAAAGAAAAATATCTGACGTAAATAATAGGGAAGGTTCATAACTACTGCAGCACAGAGCATCAGAAAACTCATAGCATATATATCAGCTGCCTGCGTGTTACATTCAAAGTTCCTGACTTTTTTTATCTTTTTTAAATGTTACATTCAAAGATTCTCATTGGCTGCTTGACCACATTTTACAAATAATAAATAAATAAATAAAGAATGGACTCTCAAGTACGTAATAAATGCTGGCATAGTAACATTCTCATCCTATGCGTCCATTCCAACTCCCAAACCCCACCAAAAAATGAAATAAAAAATTTAAAGCTCCATGGCCAATCAAAAATTTAAAGCTTAAACAAGTATCTATGAGTTATAACGGACAAAAACAGAAGACTAACAAAATGAAAATAAGTCTGTACTCGCCTCCATTGTTTACTAGAAAAACCAATGTTGAAATTTCAAATAGAATACTGGATTACAGATAATTTTCTGTTTGGTCTCTTTTTGAAGGAGTCAGGCTCACGCCAGACGGAACGGAAATGAAAAGATTATGATGCCGGCAGCTTTAAGCCTGCCATTAATCAAACTTTAAAAGCTGAAATGATCTCCGGATATGCAGAGAAACAAATGAAACAGAGGAAACAAGCAAAGCAAGCACAGGACCGTTCATATTTCATCCAAATTCAGAAATCAATCCAAACAAAACGAGGAAAATAATCAATAAACTGAAAATTTGAAACCGATAACAAATTCAAGATACTGTATGAGGGGTGTTCAATCAATATTTTTTTAAGCAAAAAAAGGAAACAAAAGGAGAAACTACCTTGCAAATAACAGATTGGCCAAAACCCAAAGGCCCATTTCAGATTAATAAAAAACCAAGCCAACCCATCAAAATCCAGAACAGATTTCCAAAACAAGCAAAAAAGCAAAGCAACACAAGAAGAAGAAGAAAAAAAAGGGAAAAATGAAGGAGAAATAGAATAGAATTAATACCTCATAATATTGACACGCAGGTGAGCCCTGAGCTCAATGAAGAGCTCGTGCATCTGACCCAAGTCAGCAGCATTACCATGCGAGTAGAGAAGCGTGAACCTGGCAAAAGGGTGCTTCCAAAACGTGGCAACGATCTTGTTCCCTGCTTTTGTATCAAGCAAATGCACTTCCATGTTCTTGTCAGCTGTAACTCCCGAGAACACAAGCTTACCACCGTCGTCTTTGTGCACATCATAGGTGGGTGGGTCTGGAGGGAAAAATGCAAACTTTGCAGCCACACCCGACGTTACATTGCCCATTAACACAGATCACCAATTGGGATATGTGGTTCAGGCATGAAACAGAGCTCAGGCTAAAATGGTGGGGGTTGAGTTTTTTTTTAAATCTTTTATCTGAGCTTGGTTGTGTTGTTGTTCATTATGAAATTAAAAACCAAAACCAATAATGGGGTTTTCTTTCTTTTTGGTGTTTAATTTTTTGAGGGTGGGGTGGGGTGGGGGGTTTTGGTTTGTGTGAATTTTTTTACTGGGGATGATGGAAAGGCAAAGCAGGTGGCGTCAGATGAAATTAAAGGTGAAAGAGAAGGGCAGGGGGGGGTGGCAGAAAATAGATCCGATCTAAGCGGGTGAGCTGGAAATGATGTTGTTGGAGAGGAACAAAGATGAAAGACTCTGAGAATCTCAACACAGAATCCGCACATTACATCTTATTATTGCATCTCCTCTTGTCTTGTGTATTCTCTTCTTCTCTCTCTCTCTCTCTCGTATTATAATTAATAATGAATAATAATATGAATCGTGATTAGGATTATTATTATTGTAAGTATATACTTTAATTTTGTTTAGTTTTATTATTTCAAAGGGAATAACTTAAAGGATCGATCATCGATGTAGTTGTTATTTTGTAAATAACAAGAAACAGGAGGTTGGTTGATGATGTGATTTGTATGTATGTTATGTACAAGTTACAACTTCTCTCTCTCTATTTTTATCACTTCCTTTGTTTCGACAGGAAAACTAGATATCAAATGTCATATTTGCCCCTCAACATAAATTGTGGACATCAATGAAAATTGGTTGGATTCAAAAACTGATAAAGACGGTTGAATTCACCACTTTCACAAAATTAAATTAAATAATTATCATTAATTCATGCCTTTCAGTTATTCACCCTTCAGCTGCAAAACCAGCTTATTCATAATCACTGTTTACGTAGGAAAAAATATATATTAAATTAACACATCTGAATTATCACATATTCATTAACCATAAATCCTAAATTAAAGCAAAAATATTTATAATTTAGGTCAGTAATGTTGCATGTTAAATTATTTGGTAAAACAAAATCTCTATATACATGAGATATAAACCATGGTTAATTATGTATTTATTCGACCAAAAATTGGTTATGTATTTATGTATTTTATAATTAAAGAAAAACGTTTCTTCTTCGAGAAATAACAAGGGAAGGGGAAGATCACAAGGAAGTGGACGGATGGACGGGCGAGATTCGGTCAAAGACTGTCGAGGATCTTCGAAGAAAGGGAGAAGTGCAGCAGAAATGTCAGAGTCTGACATTCCTCATTTTGCTTGCTTTGTTGAGCCAATGTTTTTCCAAAAATATGACACTTGGGTTGGTTTGCCTTTCTCTCATTCAGTCAATTTACAACTGCCCCGCCCCACAAGCTTTGACCCAAATTACCCACTTAAACCCCATTTTCCTCACTTATTATTAGTTTTAGATCCAAAATCAATTATGTTCCTAGAATTATAACCCATATATGCAGAATTGAGAAAGACTTTCAAGAAACGGGAATAACACTATTTTGTTATTCTCGACTAATAACCCTTTTTTTTTGTCTAAATTGATTTGCCTAAAAAGGAGAAGATCACAAGTGAAAAGTTGGGAAATTTTGGGATTTACGGGTGTATTCAACTAGGATTGTAATTGTTATTAGTGACTCTTGAAATTATTATAATCTAATGATAGGTACAAGGTTGTAAAGTAGTAATTGTGCCTAATACAGTTTGACATATTGATATTAAATTAGTCAGGGGGGATTTTCCCATTTTCAATTCACAGGCCAAACTTGCTTTAGGTGATTATGGAGTAGGTCCAATAATAGCTACTTCTGTGTATTTCCAAATAAACAAAACAAAAAAAAAAGTAAAAACACTTAGGTCAAACATAGAAATTTCAGAATTTTTTAAAGCATTTAGAGAAAAAATTAATGGTTAATAAATTAATTGTGAGTTTGAGATGAGATAAATGTATTTCTTATTTTTTGCTGGGTCCTGCTGCACAAGGATAATAGTTTCTTTTAATTGAAATGGCCCAGATGGGGGATGTCATCAGGAAATGAGTTGACTGGCCTTTAGCAGTAGAGTAGGGCACCTTGTGCTTTAAGCTTGGGGGACCAAATCAATGAACTGAAAGATGTATTTTTATCTCGCAATAATACGGCCTCCTTTCACAAATTTGATAATTATCATCTCATTGAAGTTAATCCCTATGGTTAGTTGACTATGATTAGGGGACTGAAGTTGACAAATTATGAGTAATTGAGTGATTTTGGACCAATAACAACAGTCAATAAGTAAAGTGAATAGTACAGCCAAAGGTTTAGGGTAAGTCTTAATTCTGTGCACTAACCAAGGAAAAGAAATTTGGGTCAAAAAAGCAATAGATTGCTTGGAAAATGTGCACTAAGCAAAGGGAAAAGGGAGAAATGCAATAATAAGATGTTGATAAGAAAACAAACGAAAAAAATAAAGAAGAAAGAGCATCATTTGTGTTCTGTACCATCACTTGCTTGACATAATTGCAAAATTGAGGAAATTTATGAAATGGTTAATCAGTTTTCGAGTTAATTAAGTTTGATTAACAGATCAAAGGGGGAAACAAAAGGTTCCTTTGCTAATGGTGGCCATCAAATCAGCTAAAAGATTGGTTATCTCAGGCAACCAAAAGGCACGGATGAGATTCTTTACCAACCACATCATACATTTGCCTTGCCTCCCTCAATAATCTACTGAAATTATAACACAAAGGGTCCACAAAAGGTAAAATCCATACAGGTCAGTTTTTCATTACTTGCATTGGGAAGAACAACTAGTTTTGGCACGTTGAGGAACTCTCGGACTGAAAAGGTCGTTGAGCGCCAACCAACATCATCCAACATTGAATTTGATCAAGTTTGGCAAACCAAATAGCAACAGAATGTCAATGCTCCTGTGCTTGTGCTTGCTTTGATTATTTTTAATGAAATTGAGACATAAGTAAGATTTTATAGAAATGAGTTTCATTTTCATACAAACTTGATTTTTTTTGTTTGAAAACCTAATAGCACATACATCCAACAGGGTTAAACAACTATTTTCCTTTGACTCAGGATATTGTGGACAGATAACGTACTTCCATACATACAAATATGGATGATACTAAAATCAAAACCAGAGAAATCTAATGGGCGCTGTTGAATAACATGTGCTCCTCTTCCAATGTGATCCTATCACCGACAACTGAAACCCAACTTTCAACAATTTTATCTACTGCTCCGTCCACAATCTCCACTATAGTGAAGGCACGGATGGTGCCACAGGACTCTGGTGTTGAAAGATCGGGTTCTTTATCCACGAATTCATCATTTAGTTTCTTAACCCTCGGAACAATGGCCCCATTCAGGTATATAGTGTTGTCAGCTCCAACCACTATCATTTTCCGAAGACCATTTCCATCTGCTAGCTGTTTATGCATGTGACCAAACACTACCAATGGACCACAGATTTTTCCGGTCTCTTTTAAGAGGGACAGGGCTTGTGCTAGATCTGCACCAGAAGAACAAGTGTTCATGTTATTACATCTTAATATAGATGAACAAAACACATGAAGGACGTAACTCACCTCCTTTCCATAACCAGACTCTTAGATTCGTCGGGTCACCAGTCACATGCAGCAACCCAAAAGACCCAGTAGGAAGTGACATCAATTTAACGTGTAAAACTATACTTACAAAAATAACAAAAACCCTTTCAGTGATTCACTGAAGAGGTTCGGATCATGCCTTTATGGGGTTGGCAACCTAAACGTAGAGATGCATACCAATGTAGAGCCAATAGCTTAATTATTACCTGGGTCACCATGATCTCCGCCTCCATACACCCAATCTTTTCCGCATACGTCATCCAAGTTAGAACCAAGACCTGCACAAAGAGTGAACTCAGAAATTTGCATTTACATGAAGTAACAAAATTTCCCTAAAAAGCTAGATTACGATTTATTTCAGCAGAGCAGACTGATAAACCTGTGGGGCCATTATGTGCAAGAAGTATGACTAAATGGTCCTCTGGAGCACCCAAAGCTGCTTTGCATATTCTCTTAGCACTTCCATCCATGTCTTGGACCCCATACCTAAGAGGTTGTTTCAACACATAATTCAAGCCATCATTGAAGAGAACACAAGGTTTTTCTGATGAATTTTCCATCATAAATGTGACCCATGCATGGTATCATGAAAAATGGTTACAAATTTTTGGATAAGAGGCCAAGAAAATTGATAAAACTCTAGTTTCATGTTTAATCAACAGCTGCTAAAACCATTACACACCTCGCTGACAGAAGCTTTGGCCGAAACAACTGCTGTCCCCCACAAGAAAACGGTCGCCCACCAACAACGCTCAGTTTTACCACAGGAAAGTCCAAACGCCGATAAGCTACATGCTCCTCGCCGAGACTGAGCATTACAAGTATTATCACTTACCAACACAATTAACTTACAGCTGCAACAACGTAAGAATTACATGTAGCCTTCCAAATGTAAATAATTCGTTCACCCAACGTTCCATCATTTAGGACTGTTGGAACTGTTTGACCTGCTTTTGTTCATTAATGTCCATTTCAGCCTGGTTTACTAGCGATATCATCTCATGTCAAACTAAAATCTCTCCTCTGACCAATCAATATGACACAATCTTCACCAATCTATGAAAAGGACTGGAATACTATAGTTGGCATTAGCGCATGCAAAAGAATCCTCAAATTCTGGGGAATTTGGTTTTTAAAAGGAAAATCATAAAGAGCATGATTGAAAAACTTGTGTCAGATACATTCTTCACTCTAACATTTTCAATGCATTGCAAAACAAGGAAAAACAATTAAAACAATAAAATATTTCATTGGCAACCATGACATCTGTATGCAACTGTGAATACATTGAATTGATATAAATATAGTATAACAGGAAAAAATACTATCTTTTAATGTGAATGACAAGTAATAACTGATAAAAAAAAAGATGTAA